TTGTCAACAATGAACCCACCATTCACATCACGAATAGAGTACCTCGGCATAGACGGCTTGGCACTAAATTTGCAGATAGGCTGATAGAGTTTTCGAATATCATAAAAGTTTGAGGTCTGAGGTCGATATTTCCACCCATTATTGCCACCGGTCATCTCTAATCAGCTTTGCTGTCATATTCTAGAGTTGGCAGAGTAAAGCATCGTTGCGAAATCTAGCTCGAGCCATCTAATCAAACAACTGCAGGGTTCTTCCGTAGATCCAGTCGTTGCGGTGTTTCTGGGCATACAACAGAAATTTTCTAGGCTGCCCCCCGATGGCCACTGCCGTCTCCATCGCCTCGGATCATAAAAGTAAACTGGCTTTCTGTGCTCAGAGCCTCAGGGCGTGTTGTTTTGTCGAATTTTTACGACGTCTTTTTGGATGTAAATGAGAGGTGAACTTTGAAACCTGTGCGAACGAGAACCCGGTCAGACGTTACAGGTTTCGGCACCACACATCCACCTGCTGTCGTGAATCCGGCTGAAGTATCTTGAACCAACTTGAATGAAGTCGGTCTGACCGTCGTTTGAATACCCGGTTAGCAGATGTTTGTGGCGATATTGGGAGCAGGTGTTGGTGACAAGCAGTCGATTCTGGTCAGCTAAATTCAGCATTCTGTTACCATGTCGCACCGACAGCGAACCCCTAAACGGCCAATGAAGTGAATGCAAGGAGACTCGCCGTATCCAGTTCGATTATTCCAGCCCACGGCAACAATCATCAGGTCACAATGGGGGAGTCTTTCGACTAACTCCTACAGCTACGACTCCAAGGCCTCTTTATCGCGCTGTTAGGTAGGTGGTGCTGGTGCACAAACCTGCCGTCAGCCACTCGGTCATTGACTAGATTCCATACAAGCCGTGTGCGGTTTGCTTTTTTCGAGAGGATCATAGCTACATGGTGTCGCGTGGGCCGTTGTGCTATAAGGCGAAGCGGGAGTTGACTCCCGGGATCTTGCTTTCTCGTATGCCTAAGTCGGGGATCCGGACTCTAAGAAGGCAGGGGCGTAG